AGAGGCAATGTATTCATATAAATGCCCTTTCATGCTTTCAACCTTTTCATAGTACTGCCCAATTTTTTGTTTAATTTTTTTGTGGGGACTTAAGACATACACCCCACACATGCCACAACATATCCTTATGAAAAGTATTCACTCCCATTGCCAGTTGTTTGTGACTTTGGAAGGGGGACTTAGAACAACAAAACAATTTGCACTACCTCATTTTGTCCTCTCCACATCAATTTCACTACACTGTTGCTTCAGGCATGCATGAAAGTGATATGGGCACCCATGAGTAAATTTATGGTGATAAGGGGTATATTGGAATTCACAGAAATAGTGTTCACTCAGATGTTTTTGATCCTGTGGCAATGATTGTTATATCACAATATAAACAATGCTTTTTCTTGTTGGGGCCTTCCTATGACAAAAGCACCCCGCCAACGTGTATAAAACAAAATTTTTATGGTTACACCAAGATACTTTTCAAAGGTATATATCTTTGAAAAGTCAATTTCTGTGGAAATATTCATTTTGTTATGGAGACGTCTGGCTCTAGTAATGATTTTTTGTTTTGTAAATGACCTGCTGGCTAACAAATACAGACTGCAAAACAGAAATTCACACTTTACATTGAAATTGATTAGATGGCTTTTTTTCCCCCTCCTGGTCTTGGCTGAATAGCATAGTGCTTAAATTCCTAAGACCATCCCCTCTCTTTGTCAAAACAGCTGTGATCACTCCACAATATTAAGTGTTGTTTTAATCTTGTATGGCACCCAGAATCACATACTGTTATGAGATGGGAAGCCACATAAATAATTTAAATAAATAAATACATCTATGTAGCTTTGTAACTTGCTTTCAATATGCTTCAGGAACTTGTCAGCATTTAAATCAACCTAACCTAAAAGAGTGTGATTCAGCCTCTGTATCCATCCTGAGTGGGCAAAATAGTTTTGGCTCAATGTCCCTATAAATATTACTTAAAAGATTATGTATCTCTTCATGAATCACAACTGTATCATGTGTGAAGGAACAGATAGAATCAGTTTGCAGATCTCTAGCAGTGGTAGTATTCCATAGCACTGTAATTGCTAATAGGTCTCCTTGTCTATATCCTTTCCAAATACCCTTCCATTAGACTCTGCATGTTCATCAAGTTTGAATCCTATGCTGTTGCACAGAATTGTTTTATAGCCACTGGTGGGGCTTCTGTGCTGCTTACGCAGCCTGAGGCATCCCAAGGAAATCTTCCACCTTTTGCTTTTTTTACCTGGTGGTTCTGGATAAGGCAACAGAAACAAGTAGCACTTCAGCAAAATCACAGTAGTGCAACACCTCGTTCCTTAAGCCTGTTGTAATTAGATAAAACTCAGCAGATATCTGTACAATCTTTCATGTGTTGCATTGGATGTAGAAGCCTGGGATCCCCAGTAACAAACTATCACCATTGTGTATCAGTGGGCATTGGCAATGCTACAAATATTTGATCATCCAACAATCTAAAGAAAAAAGAAAAGAAACACAACAGAAGTCAGAGTTGCTTCAGGAATGCTTGAAAGGAACCTGAAATTCTACCAATATTTATTTCTGTGAAAAATTATTACATTTATAAGTTTTCAGATATTGTGTGAGTCTGATATTTCATTCTGTTAAAAAAGGGAAAATTCACATATTATTTGTCTCTAACAAGGTTACTTCTCAAAAAAAGTCATATCTCCTTAAATTAGTTGTGTTCATTCTCAAAAACATTCTTACCTGTGAAATAGTACCTCACAATGGAGGCAAATATATGTAGCTCAGGATTGAACTGTGGAGTCCTTGGGGTTCTCTGAGCTTGGTTCTTTTCTTGCAAACATTTCATTACCCAGCTGGGTCCATAAACCCAGAACTAGTGAAAGAATCCATATCAGCTGCATTACACAACACACCCAACTTAACCAAATACACCCAAATAGAAATACCCAGAATCATGGACCTCATCAACCGCTGCCTCACCACCTATTTTCAATCCGATGGACAAATATACCAACCAATCAGAGGCACACCCATGGGATCACCACTGTCAGGACTCA